ATTAAAGAAAATAAGTCAATAATATATTATATATCACACTTTCCTCTTTATATTTAACATCAATTTATTTTCCTAAAATTGATTTTTATTGAGAAATAAAAATATCACATATCAATTTATTAATTGTTGTTTTAATTTTTTTTTATAATAATAACTTTTTTATATAATTTTATTATGTAAATTTTATTTTTATATTTATATAAATTAAAGAAATTGTTATCCCTCTTAAAATGAGATTCTAAACAATGGCTCACCTTGATTGTACTTGGAGCTGTCATTGACCTAACCTATGTTCCTTCCTTGAGGCAGTGGAATCCAATTTTGAACATATTACTCCTCTTGAAGTTGTCTCAATTTTCACTTTAGGTTGGATCTTTAAATGCCAAATAACCATCCATTCCTCGTCTTCTCTCCATTAGTTTCGTGAAAAGTGAAAACAGAATATACAATTATTTATTTTCATTCTTCAATTTTAAAAATAATTAAAATTAAAATAGTTTTAAAAAATAATTTTAAAAAGTTACTTTATGCTTAGCTAAATACTTCGGAAGATTAAAAAAAACTAAATTACATTTTAAGCACCCTAAAAAGAGGCTAAAAATATGTTTCAACTAGATAGATAGATATTCACAATTTGTCTTCCAATTTTTAATTATATAATTTTAACCTCTTAATTTTATAAACTTCACAATATTAATTTTATTATTATATATTTATCCATTGACCATTAAAATCATAACATTTATCATATAATTAATATTTAAATTAAATTACACCTACATTCTTTTTTTATATAGATAAATTACACTTACTTTCTTAATTTATCTAATAAAGTTGGGGAAAAATAAAAATGAAATAAAAAAATAGAACTAAAAATACAATTTAATTCAAATATTATTAAATTTTAATTATCATGTCATCTATTAAATATAAGATTATAATCAATATTATAATTATAATAGTCAATGAATGAACACTATAAGGTCAAAATTATAATTTTTATAAAATTGAAGAGTGAAATTAAAGCCATGAGAAAATAAAATCACAAGTTGAATATTATATAAGCTAAAAGTACAATAAAAGAAGGGGGGAAAAACAAATAGAACGACAAAAGGCAATAAATTTCCTTCTGTCAAAAAATGTTCAGAGGTAAGAATTCAAAGTAGAGAAGACATTATATACCCCCCCTCGTCTTTAAACCATGTATAACATATATTGTTCCCTCAAAATATTATAAAATTTGATTTTAGTCTTAAACAAAATATTTTTTAATCCCTAAATTTTAATATAAAAACATTTTGTCTCAAATGGAAGACTAAATCCTTATCACTTTCAATAAATGTAAAAAATTAAAAACGAATAAAATCTTGAGAATAAAACCAAATTTCAAGATATTTTAAGGGGACAAAAACATATTTACCCTATAAACCTGATAGATTTTGAAAAACAACATTGGTAAGCCTTACCCTTTTCTTTATAGAAACTCCTAAAAGTAATGGTAACTGAGTTCTCATTACACCCAATTCCAAAGGAAACAGGAAATCTGAAGCTGCACAATCACAATAATCCCATCTTCCCATTGCACTAAACTATAGTTGAGATTAATATAAGGAACAAATTACCATATCTACTCCTAGTTGCATGACCATGTTCTAGTATGGAATTGGTGATGCCTTGGCAATTAAGTTGCATATCATGCACCTTAATCCACAACCACAGAAGAAAGTGCAAGCTATGCATCAAAAAATGAATATAAATAATTATACATGGCACCATCACACCTTTAAATTGAGTCAGCCTAAAAAATTTTGCTTCTCTACAATATGGTAAGGTATTCACCCTATACAGCAACACTACAATCACCTTTCTGTGAAATATCCTCATTAGTTTCAATAGAAGAATGTTGAGACACTTCCATTGCTGCTTTGGCAGATGGAAGTTCACTTTCAGTATTAATATGGGAAAGCTGAGAATTAACAAGATTGTCAATTGGATTGCTTTGTTGGGGATTGACCAAATTTGAGTCACCAAGTTGTGAGTGATTGGCCTCTGCAGCAGCATCTGGAAGCGTCACATCATCAATGTCATGACTTACATCACAAAGCTGTGAATTATCAATCACAATATTATCAGAAGGTTGCACAATGTGAATCTCATTAGCTGCATTCAGTTCCTCAATGTTTTCCTCTCCAGTCACATGGTTAAGTTCTTGTTTTATTTCTTCACCAGCTCTGTGCTTTAGTTCTTCATGGCTAAACTCAACAGCTACATCATCTGGCTCCTCATTATTTTCTTCACCTGCTGCATAGCCTAACTCAGATTCATCAACCTCAATGTGTGTATCACAGAGCTGCATATTCTCACCATCAGCATCTGCATGAATCAACTGGACAACACTGACTGCATTGTCTACAGAACATAACTGCGCATGATCCAGCTCTCTTTCAATATGACTTAGATGTAGTTGGCCAACATCAATAGCAGTGCCATAGTACTGAGGTTGTTCATCCTCACTAACAGCGTTATATTGTACCACACCATCCTTTCGCATTCGTTTACCCACTCCTCCTTTTCTTCTAACCCTCTCCTTTCCTCTTACCCTTTTTCCTAGTTCAACTTGGGGGCTCCCCGATGCCATGACCGGACCACCAATTTGGTCTCTCAAACATTCATGGGCTATATATCTTATCCTCGATATTGATTCAATTTGTTGTGGATCTAGCCCTTTTGTCGAAAAGGTATCTGCTATGTGTGCAATATCTCGCAGACCGGCATTCTGCAAACATTTGTTTGTTTTCTTTAAAAAGCATTTCAAACTTAATCCATAATTTCTATAAGATATAAAAACAAAATCATGAAACATATCCTTACCGTTCTCTGAAACTCTGAAGACAGAGAAATAGGTCTCCCGATGAACTTGCGAGTAATTCTCAAATACCACTCCATGTACTCACTTTCATCTACACCCTCATCCCCTTCAACAATATGCAGTTGTCGGTCCATCCATTCATTAAGCTCTGATTCCATTTTCCCTGACAAATCAACGCCTCCATCAACTCCTCTACTCTTCCTCTCCCACCGCTCCACATCATCTGGAATTGATTGAAGCATGCCATACTGCCTTAAGCATCGATTCGGAAGATGTCTTTCTGCCTTGTCAAAGCATATCAGCATTGTCTTTGACCTTCCAAGAATTAAAGTGCTCTTGATATGTTCTGGAATTACCATGCTGTCCATGTTTCGGTAGGGAAGCCACTCCACCTGTACATTTACACTAGTAAAACTAGATTCTATTTTTAAAATATATCAGAATATTTCCACATCAGCATGAAACATACATTTTGATAACAGGACTTACATCACATGGTTTTAGGGAATCCAGAGCCTTCCGATAGAAAACTACATCTCGATTTGCAGTTGGGCCACTTTGTTTTCCTTTCCATCTAAGCACAAAGGGAAATCGATCATGCATCATATCAAGATTGAGCTTTGGTCGTCCAATATTTAGGTGAAAGTAACTCCAACACTGCATATACATAATAACCAATCAAATCCACACTTTCAAGAGAGGAAAACTGCAGTTTGAAAGAAAATGTAGAGTCAAAGAGGAGTTAAAAAGAAGAGATACATATTTAAATAAATCACCTGAAGTAGTGTTAAACAGCCACTAATGGTACTTTGAGTTTTTAGTGAGGCATTCCCCAGTGCTCTATACAAGAATGCCAATGCTGCAGCACCCCAGGCATATTGCCCACATCTATCAAAATTCTCAAATAATGGCAAATACATTACAGGGACTTTATTCCCCGTAGTGGTGGAGAATATGGTGCTACCTACAAGATAAAGAAGATATGCACGAGTATGTTGCTCTATCACTTCGATCGGAGCATCTTCGGGACATCGTGAAAAGAACTCTTTCAACCAACTTAGCTTCACCATTCCGCCACTTGTGTAACCAGATTCCGGTGTTCTGCCAAGATACTTTTCACAAACTGAACTGCAAGTGGTATATGTAATACCAATTACAGGTTCTCCATCAATTGCCAGCCCAAGCAAGAGTGCAACATCTTTAAGGGTTACTGTCATTTCACCGACATTCAAGTGAAATGTGTTTGTCTCTCTTCTCCACCTTTCAACTAGAGCAGAGATAAGTGGATTGTCTAGACTAATAGCTGGGATTGACCTTAAGTATCCAAATCCAGCCTTCTCTACCAATTCAACCTGTTTAAGGGTAAGTGTCCACTGATCAAGCTTTGAAGTATGTTCATGACATCTGAGGGCACCACGCTCCTGCTAATGAATTAATGAAAGAACAATTATATATAAATATTCAAGATATAGAAGAGATTTTCAGAAAAGAAAATGAAATAAAATATGAAGCCGAAAGGCTTCTTTTCAGCTAGAAAATAACACCTGTCCATCCCAAACTGCTGTGGAGACATGCTTGTCTTGGTCATACAGAACTGAACCATCAATTGGACCTGGATTAGTTGTATAAGGGTCCACTGCTCCCACTTCCATTACTATGACTAACAACCAACATCCAAGAAAGAAGTAAAGTTAGGAAGAAGAGCCTCAAAATTTTCTTTTGTTTTATAAAAGAAGTATATCAATAAGAAAGAGAGAAAAGCAGTGGCTGAGAAAAAGAGCAAACTCTTGAAAGAAAAAAAAAAGAACAAAGTAGGTAAAAACTTGTCAATACATCAATGGCATATAAAGCCTACAAATCCTAATGATTAGTAGCCCCAAAGTCCCAAGTTTTAACCCTATGCCCCAAATCTCCATAAGCAACCTATTAAAAACTTCAAAATGTATATCATATGCTGATTATTACTGTATAACTGGAATAGTCAGAAGGATGTCCAAGAATGAAACTAAACAGAAGTTAGCATCTATCAACTCAATTAAGGAATGACAAAATGAGAGATATACAAACTTTCTTTACCAGGAAATGAAGGATTTATACTGCAGATTTTAGGGATTGATCCTTCCTGATATCTAAAGCATGTAACAGATAAACCTCGACGCTGACTGCCATCTATTCTTGCTTCATGAAGTTACAAAATTCTCTTTCCTTGTATGAACAGCATTCAAGGGAATACTGACACAACCGAAACCTGACAAAACACAATAATAACGCCGTTAGTCATATACGACAATTGAAAGATTTCGAGCAACATTAAGTCAACAAATCATCATAAATTGCTCTTGCAAACGTGCTTGAGATAACGGCATCGCCTAGTCATCCAACAGATTGGAAACTTTGCTCTTTTTACTTTTAAGGCCAGTAGAGTCATGCCTAAAATAGCAATAATTCAATATAATGATTACTAACATAGACCTTAATTCATTAAAAACATCTAAAACTTGTATGCCAAGAGTTACACAAGTTCAAATCATTTCACTTTCATTTAATCCACAAAAAGTACCATCCATATACAAGAAGAATAAAACTAAGCAAGATTTTAAAAATAACTTCAAACTCTCTGGGTCCCACTCAAAGTATACAGAAGAAAGTTAATTTGCTTTCTCCTTAGGTTATCAAAACCCAGTTTCCTAAATCCCTATCTGCTCAATCTGTCTTTAACCTAACATTACTATTCAATTCAAAAACAAAACCCCATTCCCCCATACTACCCCTCACCTGCTAGTCCAGAATTTTAACACTTTCATCTTACTATCATCCATTTCAACCTCCTGAACCAAACAAACACAACAACTCCTCCTATATAACCTTATCTTCCACAAACATAAGCCCCACCCCAATTCACTAAAAAAAACAGCATAATCTCCCTCAAAGCTCAACCTCAACACAACACAACAAACCTTCCCATTCCATAACACTCAATCAAACTCACTCCAAAAACACTACAATAACCAATTGCATTACCGGCACCATCATTTTTCCTCAAGAAAACCAAACCCCACAACCCAGAATTGCCACTTAACACCAGAAACACAGAGCAAAGAGTGAATCACGTAAAAGCACCCACAGCCCACCAAAAAAGATGAAAACTTTGGGCAAATTGAACGCAAGGGTCGAACTGGGTCATCACAAAAAAACACTCACAGAGAAGAGGTGCTCGGGTCCCACACGAATTTGGGACCCCGGAGAGAGAAAGATGAGAGGCAAGAAGCACAAGAAGAAGGTGAGAAGAGATCTGCATGGCTTTAGTTTTCGCTCGGAATTGCATTGAGCTTAGAATAATATTAATAAAAAAATAAAAATGAAAAACAAGGAAAAGTAAAGAGAGAGAGAGAGAGATAGAGAGAGAGAGAGGCTTACAGTGAATGGAGGAGAACACGATACGACTTCCACCGTCGTCGTCCCTTGATTTAGCACTTAGCACAGGTTTGTAATTGTTTGAGGGCAACAACACGCAAAAAGGGTGTGTGGATTGTGGAACATCTCACAACGGGCTTTCTTTGGGCTTCTAGGCCCGAATTAAGGTTGATGATATATACACCTCCTTTTTTTGATAAGTACACTTTCTTTTTAAAAAAAATAATTAAAATTTTAAAATATTTTTATTTTTAATTTTTAATTTTATATCTACAACATTTAATTTAGTACTTTTTTTATATTTTTTTCTTTTTTTTTCTTCAATTTTTACATGCACTCCTTACCTTTTCTTCACCCCACCTATTTTGGTAGCATGTGAAAACTAAAAGAGAAAAAAAAGTGTGTGAAAAAGAAGAAGAAAGTAGCAAATTAAAAATTGAAGGTGTGAAATTAGAAAATTAAAAAAAAAACTACAATATTTTATAATTTAAAATAAAAATAAAGGAGGTGTACTTAAAAAATAAAGGAGGTGTATATATTATGAGGCTTTTTATAAGTGCACCTCCTTTATTTTTTTAAAAATTATAAAATATTGTCATTTTTATTTTATTTTTTTAATTTTACACCTTCAACTTTTAATTTGTTACTTTCTTTTTTTTTCACACACTTTTTTTTCTCTTTTAATTTTCACATGCTACTAAAATAGGTGGGGTGAAGGAAAGGTAAGGGAGTACATATAAAAATTGAAAAAAAAAAAAAAGATGTGTAAAAAAAAAGTACTAAATAAAATGTTGTGGTGTGAAATTAAAAAATTAAAAAAATTAAAAATATTTTAAAAATTTAATCATTTTTAAAAAAAAAAAAAGGTGTACTTATAGGAAAAAAGGAGGTGTATATATCATCAACCCCGAGTTAATCATATCGTTAGGCCCAAGTTAAATTATGTGGGCTTTGTCATTCTGGACTACCAATTGCAATTGTTAAACATACCTCCCTTCGGTATTTTTTTCACTAAAAAACTATATTTACCAATTAATAAAATTAGCTTGAAGAAATGTTTGTGCTTCCTTCCCTTACAATTAAGGACAAGCATGAACCACGTTCATATCCATCTCATGATGAAGCATTATATGGACGATCAAATTATAAAACTAGATTTTGACACGTATGAAATATTTGTTTTTAGTGGACATAAGCTTCGTCGACGAAGAAGCAACAGAGCTTCATTTTTTTTCCGAACAAAAACTTTTGTGAATAAAAGGATTCTGCTCACCATAGGTTCGGAAAGCCCCGGTAAATGTTTTTCTAAAATAATATTTATTTATTTTAATTGTACTTGAATAATATGTTAACATTCATTTCTCTAATAGTTGAACTTATATTTGAAATCCCTTAAACCAAATTTATTTTGTTTATTATTATTTTTTAGTTTAAGGTTATATGATAGTGAAATTGAGGTGTTTGAAATGTGCAAGTATAATATGATGGTAATCATTTTTTTAATTCTTATTCTTATTTACATATTCCTAATTATGGAAATAATATTTTGATGGTTTATTATGTTTTTCATTGCCTTGATAGGAAGTATAACATGGAATCTTCAAATGTTGATTGAAAACCAAGAGTTGATATGAAATTTGATAATTCAAAGCTGGCTTTGCAATTTTGGATTGTTTATCATGCACATATTAGTTTTGGAGTTAGAAAACCATATGTGAATGCTAAAAAAGGAAGATGGAATTGTTACTTCATGCAAATTTATTTGTTGTAAAGAAGGGTTATGAAAAACAAACAAGAGAAAGTTGACTAGTGAGCATGAATCTTTGCATAAGCTTGCAATGTTAAAATATGCGTTATCACCAATATTGATACAAATGGAAAAAATACTTACATAATATTTGACTTATTCTAGAATTAGTTTAAAGCAAACCCTAAACCCTAAACATACTTTATTCACATACATTGAAAGTGTTTAAAGCAATTGATGTTATTCCTCATAATGTTTTTTTTATAAGATGGACAAAAAAAGCTCGTAATGACATTGTGCATGATGTGAGGGGAAAAAGTTGAACCAGATCTTAAACTATCTAACACACAAATATTTAAGCAACTTGTATTTAAGTTTGTTAGATTAGTCATTAATGTGTTAACATGTGAAGAATATCATAAGGTTGTCAATAACAATGTATATGTCATGCATAATGAGATCTGGGAATGGTTTTTACAAGTCAAAAATATTTATAGTCACAACAATGATAATCTCACATTTGTAAGTGATGGTAGTAAGCAACCAAAGGGATTAAAACATAAACATGGCTTAAAGAGAAATAAGTGATTAAAAGGTTGGACTAAGCTTCAATCTAACATGAAAAAAAGTTGTAAGTAAAGAATGTCATGTATATGAACTAATGTACATATTGATTTTTAATATGTTTTAACTTTATATAATGTCACTTGTTTTAATTTTGTTTTATATTTTTTTTAGGATAAAAAAATGAGAAGTCATCAACCCAATATGCTATCTTGTTTAACATCTCCAACTTTTAAGCTCCCTCACATATTAGAAAATTAATTTAACTTTCCTTAATTTTTTTATAGTAATGTCACTTTTCATTATAAATACAAAATATTATCTTTCTTTTGTTTACTTTTAAACATCTTCATTAGTTTTTGTTATTAAGAAAGTACTCTTTCATGATGTAAGCACTCAACCATTAGATGACATGTCTTTAATCCTTGATATACATTCAAATAAATGAAGCTAGTTGATAGTAGTGTTATAATTAGTTGGTGTTGTACTTTTCTGGTGTATTTTGACTCAAACATTAGATTGCATATCTTTAATTGTTGATTTGCGTTAAAGAAATGAAGATAATTGATAGTAGTATTACAATTAGTCAGTATCATACCTTTTGTGTATTTTGATATCATTGAGAGAATTATTATAATTAGTTGGTATTATACTTTTGTGGTGTATTATGATGCCATTAAGGTCAATGTAATCATAAAATCCACTTTTTTTTAGCATCATGTTAACAATTATAGTGCTTTTTGCATAATGTAATAGGTAGTTATATTAGCAATGAACACTACTTCAACAATTATATAGTTCATCTTTTATGTCAAAGATCCAAGTTTCTTTCTTCTTTTTTTCATTTGTTTGGTCACTTTGGTAACCTTGTAGAATGGGGTGGGATGCATAGATATTAGAAAGACATATTAGAATGATGGATAAAGTAGATTACTAAGTCAAATCATAATGATTTTTGACATTTGGATTGTCATTGTTATGATGGTTAGAATTAATGTTTTTTAATGTATGAAATAAATTGGATTATTAGAGGAAAGTTAATAACTCTAAAATTATTTCATCAAGTTTATATTTGGTAGTTATGGACACATTGTTATCAGAAATGTAGTTGATGTTGAAGTGAATCATGTATTCATGTGGGGTTATTTTGCTTCAAATTTATTAACTTTTTAAAAGTGAAGGGATAAAGGAAATAAATAAGAAACAATACTTATTCACATTTAAATAGGTTTTTGACTTTTGAGTTAATCATGAATATTTGTGAGTTATGACTCCGGATTTTGTTTTTGTAAAATATTTATGAAAAGAAGTTGTATTATGTTATAAGGTACATTAAAAAATAATGTAAAACAAAATTTTCTTGTTCAAGCACCTTGATAAAATCAAACATTTATTATTGTCTCTTTTTCTCATTAATTATTATGCATTAGTAATATAGACTATAGGTCTTAATCTTTTTAATTGTAAATCAAATCATAATTCTTATAGTTATTTGATTTCTAAAGTATGTGTTTAATCTTTAAGAAATTTTGCTCATTTTAAAAGAAATGAATGTCATATAAATAAGTTTTTGAAATAAGAAAATCATTTAAAAAAATTACAATTTAGTAGGATAAATATATTAGTAAGTTGTCATTTGTCTAAATTGAATTATATAAGTGTGTTTAAATGTTAAAGTTGTTCTTAAGGACTAAATTGTATATTAACAAAAGGTCCTTCATTATTCTACACAATATTTTTTTATATTAGTGGTTGGTTTGTATTTTCCTATTTAGACCATTATTTTTCATTTCATTATAATTTGTTATATAGAGTTGACTTGAAAATGACAATCTTAGAATATTTTGTTTGGTTTTTATTTTATATGCTAAATAGGAGAAGATTTATTTTATTATAGTTTGTTATACATGTTTTTTTGGTTCTATTTTGACCAAGAAGTTTTATTTCATTATAGCATGTTATACAATTTTATGTTAGTTTTTATTTAGATTAAATTGAGGCTTGATTCATGATTCTATATAGAGGAACTTGATTTAATAGATTACATGAAGGTATAATAGATATTGATATTTGTCTTAAACTCAAACCATTCTCTTCAGAGTATCATTCCATCAAAATAAAATTGTCAAAAGAGGTAACTAATATAGGATGAATAAAAATTGTCTTGACAAGTTAGGATTTCATGGTTTGCCATGAAAAGAAAAGAAAAAGTAAAAGTGTAAAATTGTAGGGAGAAAAATAGATAATCACATAAAGGATTAAAATGGGTTTTTTTTTATATTATATTTTCAATAAATAATGTAAAACAATAATCTAACAATCCAAATGATTCAAAAGTTACTCTAATTTTGATGCTTCCACATTAGATAATTTGAATCCAAAGTAATACCACATCTTGTTCATGAATTCATATTTTTATTACCATTTTTTCGAGTTTCATCACAATTACATTCACACACTCACCCTCTTATGCCACCAAAGTGACCTACACAAGTAGCTCCTTCCAAACTAATCTGATAATAACAGCAAACAATTAGTTGCTTTGAAAAAATATTAGTTTCTAGAGGGTT